GCATTCACATTGACAGGGATGTCAACCAGAGCTGCACACCCTGAGAACAAACATTGCTTAACTTCCTGTGGACTCATCGCCTCATTGGGGACCCTCTGGTGGGGTCAATGGTGGAGGAACTTTAACTTGAGTTTAAAGACGTCAAAAGTGCATTGCACTGAATCTAACCCCATGCTGTCCCTGGGAGTGTTTGATGGGGCGAACAGTGTAGAGGGAGCTGTACTCTGTATCTAACCCCATGCTGTTCCTGTCCTGGGAGTGTTTGATGTGGGCGGAGGGTGGGGAACAGTGTAGAGGCAGCTTTACTCTGTACCTAACCCTGTGCTGTCACTGGGAGTGCTTGATGGGAGTGGGGGGAACAGTATAGAGGGAGCTGTACTCTGTATCTAACCCCGTGCTGTCCCTGTCCCTGGGAGTGTTTGATGGGGGTTAACAGTGTAGACGGAGCTTTACTGTGTATTTAACCCCCTGTCCTGGGAGTGTTGATGTGGGGGACAGCGTAGAGGGAGCTTTACTCCGTATCTAACCCCGTGCTGTCCCTGTCCCTGGGAGCGTTTGATAGGGGAAAGTGTAGAGAGAGCTTTATTCTGTATCTAACCCCATACTGTGTGTGTAGAGAGGAGCAGAGGGTCCCCAGTGTCTGTGGGCACAGATCACTGAGGATGGCAGGGGCAGGGGCAGGTTATCGAAAGAGCAGCAAGTTGAGATTCACAGTGTTGACCGTCAGTGTCCGACCCACAGAGAGTGACTCACCACGGTGCGTTGCTTGTTGGGAAGGTAGACACGGACAGTTCCTGTGGCACGTGGCATCTCACTGGGACTGTGGACCTGCCCAGGTTGGTGCGGGCTGCGACGGGATGTCGGCTCCAAGCTGCCACACGGGGACGATGGAGCTCCGCTGATGGTCAGGCTGGGCAGGCTGAAGCCATTGCTCAGAGACGGTGAGGATGCTGAGCCCCTCTTCATTCGGGCTGGCTCCACTCAGCTCCCGATTGCCCAGGGAGGGGAGGCCTGCGAACCAACAACAAGTGACTAACGTCTCCACCACGCGACCATCGCCCAACTGCGTCTCCGCCGCGCGACCATCGCCCAACCTCGTCTCCACCGTGCGACCATCGCCCAACCGCGTCTCCCCTCGGAGAGAAATCCATTCACATTCCGGAACGGGAGTCCGATCACTGATCACTGACTCGGCGCTCACCTCCTGACATACAGTCCTGCTCAAAACCCTCCCAAAACTACCCAACCTGCTCACTCCCGGTCACCCACTCCTGCCCCCTACACCCCCTCCCTCTCCCGCTCACCTCCTCCAAACCCCTACACCCCCTCCCTATCTCTGTCACCTCCTCCAGGCCCCCTCCACGCCCTTCCTATCACTGTCACCTCCTCCAGCCCCCTACACCCCCTCCCTATCTCTGTCACCCCCTATTCCAGCCCACTACACCCCGTCCCTATCTCTGTCTCCTCCTTCAGCCCCCTACACCCCCTATTAGTGTCACCTCCTCCAGGCCCCTTACACCCCCTCCCTGTCACCCCCTCCAGCCCACTATACCCCTTCCCTATCTGCATCACCTCCTCCAGACCCCTGCACCCGCTCCCTACCTCCGTTAGCTGTCATTCCCCCTCCCACCCCGGTGAAAGGAACGAGAAGGAGATGGGGGGGGGTTAGATTATGAAGTGTGGTGCACACAAAGCGAGGGGAGATATATGAGGAAAAACGACTTCGCCAAGTCAGTCTTTAAAATCACAGAATCCCTACAGTGTGGAAGTAGACCTTTCTGCCCATCGAGTCCACATCGACCTTCCGAATACCATCCCGTACCAACCTACTTCCGAGCCCCCCAACCTTTCCCTATAACCCCACCTTTCCCACAGCCAATCCACCCTAACCCGCATGTCCCTGGGCACTACGGGGCAATTTAGCACGGCCAATCCACCCTAAAACGCACATCCCTGGGCACTACAGGACAATTTACCACGGCCAATCCACACTAACACACACATCCCTGGACACTATGGGATTACTTAGCACGGCCAATCCACCCTAACTTGCACATTCCTGGGCACTACGGGACAATTTAGTACGGCCAATCCACCCTAACCCGCACATCCCTGGGCACTACGGGGCAACTTAGCATGGCCAATCCACCCTAACTCGCACATCCCTAGGCACTACAGGGCAATTTAGCATGACCAATCCACCCTAACCTACACATCCCCGGGCACTATGGGACAATTTAGCACGGCCAATCCACCCTAACCTACACATCCCCGGGCACTACGGGGCAATTTAGCACGGCCAACCCACCCTAACCAGCACATGGGATCTACCCCAGGTTACTCAGAGAGGCAATAGAGGAAATAGCTGGGCATCGGCAGATATCTTCACATCCTCATTGACCACAGGTGAAGTTCCAGGGGACTGGAGATGAGCAAATGCTGTTCCCTTGTTTAAAAAAGGATGCAGGGATAATCCAGGAAACTACAGGCGGCGAGCTTGACGTCAGTGGTTGGGAAACTCTTGGAGAAGATACTGAGGGACAAGATATATGTGCATTTGGAGGAAAACGGACTGGTTAGTGACAGGCAGCATGGTTTTGTCTGGGGAGGGTCATGTCTCACCAACCTGATTGAAATTTTTTGAAGAGGTAACGAGGATAATTGATGAGTGAAGAGCTGTGGATTTAGTTTATATGGACTTTAGGAAGGCATTTGATAAAGTCCCACAGGTTGATACCACAAGGGACTCGGAGTGGCCTGGCTAGATAGATAGAAAACTGGCTTGGTCATAGAAGACAGAGGGTGGAGGTGGAAGGATGTTTTTCAGAATGACAACCGGTAACTAGTGGTGCTCTACAGGAATCAGTCTGAGGTCCTTTCTTGTTTGTAGCATATATCAATGATCTGGAGAAAAGTGTGGGTGGTCTGATAAGCAAGTTTGCAGATGACACGAACATTGGTAGAGCTGCTGAAAATGCCGACAATTGTGAAAGGATACCCCAGGATACAGATAAGATTGAAAACCTAGGCACAGAAATGGCAGATGGAGTTTAATCCAGACAAATGCGAGGTGATGCATTTTGGAGAATCAAGTTTAGGTGTGAATTATATTGTAAATGGCAGGACCCTTAGGAACACAAACATTCAGGGAGCTGTGGACCTGCATGCCCAGATCCATCTGAAAGTGGCAACACAGGTGGCCAAAGTGATTAAGAAGGCACATGGCATGCCTGCCTTCATCGCCCAGGGCATGGAATTGGCAAACCATGTTGCAGCGATATAATACCCTTGTTAGGCCACATTGGGAGTATTGTGTGCAGTTTTGGTCACCAGAAGGATGTGGAAGCTTCAGAGAGAGTACAGAGAAGGTTCACCAGGATGTTAGACAACAAGGTGCAGGGCTGGATGGATGTTGCCCGGTCTCCAGGGCTTTGGCTACGAGGAAAGGTTAAAAAGACTAGGATTGTTTTCGCTGGAAAGACTGCGGCTGAGACGAGACCAGACAGAGGGAGTTTGAGGGTCTTCGGGGTGGGGTGTGGGGGTAGTTAGGCAGGGCTGTGCTGTTGAGGTCATGAGCCCTAGTGGGCAAGAACTGCCTCACTGAGACTAACCCACATCAGAGCATCAATCCACGTGTTTTAGACTCTCTGACCTCTCCCATCACCCGACTGACCACCCTGCACCCAACCAGGCTCTGGAAATTCTGCCATGGACATGGCAGAGTTTTGCCTGCACGCCCCCGACCATGACCAACATCTGGGGGGTGGGGGAGGGGTGCTGTCTAGTGCCGAAACTCGGTGAGCAAGTTGACCCAGGGGCAGGTCACCGACACAGTCTGACTCAGAGAGTCATATCTGGCACTCGACGCCACCATCACCATCCCTGGGGGGGGGCCGCACCATCCAGAGGGAGCTGCCCTGGGACCATGCCCCGCACCCCCCACCTCACCCCCCAGCCTCGACTCTGGACCCCCGAGTCGTGTCGTGGCTTCAGGTTAAACGTGGGCAGGGAAACCTCCTGCTGGTTACCACATACCGTCCCCCTACCCCTCAGCTGATGAATCAGTCTCTCCTCCATGTTGAGCAACACTTGCGCTGAGGATGGCAAGGGTGCAGAACGCACTCTGGGTGGGGGATTTCAACACCCATCACCAAGAGTGGCTTGGCAGTGATCGAGTTGGTCAGTTCCTAAAGGACGTAGCCGCTAGATTGGGTCTGCGGCAGGTGGTGAGGGTACCAACAGGAGGGAAAACCATACTTGGCCTCATCCTGACCAATCTGCCAACTGCAGATGCGTTTGTCCATGACGGTATTGATGCCTAATGATCACCTTGTGACCCTTGAAGACCAAGTCCAGTCTGCAACCTCATCGCTTGGCATAACCCGGACCCGAACATAACCATCAAGCCCAGGGGATTAACCCTGGTTCAATGGAGAGGGCATGAGGAGCAACACCAGGCGTACCTCAAAATGAGGGGTCATCCTGGTGAAGCCACCAAAAAAAAAACAGGACTACTTACGTGGCCAACAGTGGAAGGAGCAGGCAATAGATGCGAATGAGATCTGAGCTCTGCAGTCCTGCCACATCCAGTCATGAATGGTGGTGGACAATTAGAGAACTCACTGGAGGAGGAGGGTCCCCGAACAGCTCCCATGCCCAATGACGAGCCAAATCTCCTAGCCATTTCTGTACTGTGACTACAAGAGCAGGTCAAAGGCTGGGAATCCTGCAGCAAGTAACTCCCCTCCTGACTAACCGTCCCCCCCCAAAGCCTGTCCCACCATCGACAAGGCACAAGGCAGGAGGAGGGAGGGAACACTCCCCACTTGCCCTGGAAGGGGCAGCTCTGACAACACTTGAGAAATTCGACATCATCCAAGACAAAGCAGCGCCCCCACAACACCCCACTCGATCGACATGCTAAACCCCACCTTCAACACTCCCCTCCCTCCACCACCGACGTAGCTGGGTTCATTAGGAATGCTCGGCTGAGCTCCATCGCTCCCTCCCTCTACCACCGAAGTAGCTAGGCTCATTAGGAATGCTCAGCTGAGCTCCAATACTCCCTCCCTCCACCACCAACGGAGCTGGGCTCATTGGGAATGCTCGGTTGGGCTCCAACACTCCCTTCCCCCCACTACTGACGCACAGCCGCAGCAGTGTGTACCGTCTACAGGACGCACCGCAGCGACTCGCTGAGGCTTCTCCTCTGACAGCACCTTCCGACCCCGACCCCGACCCCGCTCCCCACCCTGCCCCCACGGAAAGACGAGGGGGCAGAAAACCCCAGCTCCTGCTAGTTCCCCTCCGAGACCCCCGCACACAATTTCGAGTTGGAATGCTATTGGCTGTTCCTTCAGTGTCACCAGGGTCAGAATCCTGAAACTCCCTTCCCGATGTGGGGGACACCATGGCCCTCGACCATACGAGGTGGGGGGATGGTGTGCAGTGGTTCGAGGTGATTGGAGATGGGGGAGAAATGCTAACCTTTCAGCAGTACCTTTGACTAGCTCAGCATTCCAGAGCACTGTGAAGTATTTGAAACTCAATTCATACACAGCGACATCCCACACACAGAGCATGGAGATACATCAGCAAGATAAGCTCTTCCTCCAAACATCGAGTGAAAGAACATTTTAGTGTCACCCTATCTCAAAAGACTCAGAGATCTCAGTACGTTGGGGGGATGGGGGGGGTGGAGGTGCAGTTTCAAATCTCCTCCTGAGTTACCTCCTGCAGGAGCGCCACGCTCCCTTAGCACTGACCATGCGACGGTGCCCGCTCCCTCAGCGCTGACCCTCCAACAGCGCCGTGCTCCCTCAGCACTAACCCTCCAACTGTACCTGCTCCCTCAGCGCTAACCCTCAAACAGCGCCTGCTCCCTCAGCACTGACCCTCCGACTGCGCCGCGCTCCCTCAGCACAGACCCTCTGACTGTACCCGCTCCCTCAGCACTGACCCTCTGACTGTACCCGCTCCCTCAGCACTGACCCTCCGACAGTACCCGCTCCGTCAGCACTGACCCTCCGACAGTACCCGCTCCGTCAGCACTGGCCCCCCGACAGTGCCCGCTCCCTCAGCGCTGGCCCCCTGACAATGTCTGATCATTTAAACTGTCTGGGAACTGTGGGCCCATGGGTTCTGTTTTGAGGACATCTGGTAGCCAACCCCTCCGTCAGAGATGAGAGAGATAAACCCAGACCTAAACCCGAGAGGCCACTAAGCTGGATAACTGACTACACGTCACTGTTGGACAAGGAGATAGTGGTCGTCATTTACTTCTGCTCCTTCCCGCCCCGAGAATGAAAGGCCTTTGACTGTGAATCTGACTGGCTCAGGTTGAAGGGAGACAGGTTTAAAACCCAGCCAGCTCCGGTCACGGCCACAGATCTCGAGTGTGGCTCATCTGTCACCTCCGCTGCTTGCTTCCCACAACCTCTCTCGCAGACGGAGTGTCTGTTTCTGACCTTGCGCAACGCAGGAAGCACTCAGCGATTCTGAAAATAGCACAGATACCGGTTCTGCAAGTTGTGTGAGCAGTGAAAAAAAACCACCGCAGCAAAAAAAAATGTCAAGCCTGCTGCTGAAGTGCGATAAACTCCACAACACCCAGTGCACAAGGCAATAAATCCCTCAAAACATATATAACACCCATTTGCTTGATCTGCACTCTGTACGCAGTAATGTTAGTCCCTCGCATGTGCAGGATACAACGCAATAACTGCTTACATGTATGACACCCAGCATAGAGTATAGCCGCAGAGTCATACATGTGGAAACAGCTTTGGGCCCACATCCTAAACTGAACTGGTCCCATTCACCTGCGTCTGGCCCATATCCCTTCATCCATGGGCCTGTCCAAATGTTTTTTAAATGCTGTCATTGTACCAGCCCCCAACCGCTTCCTCTGGCAGCTCGTTCCACACACGCACCACCCTCTGTGTGAAATCGTTGCCCCTTTTAAATGCTTCCCCTCTCACCTTAAACCTAAGCCCTTCACAGTTTTGGACTCCCCTACCCTGTGGGGAAAAAGACCCTTGGGCTATTCAGCTTATCCACACCCCTCATGATTTTATAAACCTCTTATAAAGTCACCCCCTCAGACTCCAATGCTGCAGGGAAATAAGTTCTGGCCTATCTAGAATCTCCGTATAACTCAAACAACATATAATAACACAATAATTACTTGCGTGCACAAAATCCAGTCTTCAACGCCATGACTATTCGCCTGTACAGGACCCTGAACACAATGCAATAAGCCAGTTCCAGTATACAGGACAGCAATAGCATGTGTTAAACAGTATCCTCTCTATGCAACCCCGTAGTGCCCAGAGATATGCAGGTTAGGGTGGATTGGCTGTGCTAAATTGTCCCGGAGTGCCCAGGGATATGCAGGGTAGGCTGGACTGGCCATGCTAAATTGTCCCCTAGTGCCCAGGGATGTGCGGGTTAGGGTGGATTGGC